TATGTGTCTCTCTGCTTCAAGTGTGTTTCTTGTAAAAAACATATTATAGGATTCAGGTTTTTGATTCACTGTGCTATCCACTTCCATTTTATGGGACAGTCCATTCCCATTCACATTATAGTTATGATTAATACCTGTGTATTTCTCTCTATCCTATTCTTCCTCCTGTCTGTCTTCTCTCTCCTTTCACCTTTTCCCTCCTCACCAGTGTTTTACTTGTGTCTACTACCTCACCTGATCTGCCCTCTCTTCCGTCAGTCCTTACCCCTCCTTTACTTATTCTCCTCCCTTGCTACTCCCCTGTTGGGTAAAATAGATTTCTATATTCAACTGATTGTATATAAGATTCCCTCTTTGAGTCAATACTGATGAGAATAAGGTTCAAGTGTACTTGTTACCCACCCTCCCAACTTCCCCTCTTCTATAATAGGTCTTTCATGCCTATTCATGTGAAATAATTTACCCCATTTTACCTCTCCCTTCCTTCTGTACCTGTTGTGTTCCTCTTTCTCATCTCTTATTTTTTTATGTCATTCCCTCAAATTCACCTTATAATCATACCCTCCGTCTATGTATATTCCTTCTAGCTGTACTATTAGTGATAATTTAAGAATTACAAATATCATCTTCCTGTGTAGGGATGTAAATAGTTTAACTCAATTGAATCCCTTTATGAAAGTTTGAAATCCTTCTATTTCATTGAACGGCCATTTTCTCCTTTGATGTATTATGCTTAATTTTGCTGGGTAAGTGATTCTTGGTTGTAGTCTTAGTTCCTTTGCCTTCTGGAATATCACGTTCCATGACCTCCAGTCCTTCAAAGTTGCAGCTACCAAGTCTTGTGTAATCCTGATTGTGGCTCCCTGATATTTGAATTGTTTCTTTCTGGCCACTTCTAGCACTTTTGCCTTGATCTGATAGTTCCAAAATTTGGTCATAATGTTCTTTAGAGTTTTTATTTTGAGATCTCTTTCCTGAGGTGATCAGTGGATTCTTTCAAAGCCCATTTTGGCTTCTGCGTCCAGGATGTTAGGGCAGTTTTCCTTGATAATTTCTTTCTTTCTTTTTTTTTTTTTATTAAGGCAGTTGGGGTTAAGTGACTTGCCCAGAATCACACAGCTAGTAAGTGTCAAGTGTTTGGTCTGAGGCCGGATTTGAACTCAGGTCCTCCTGACTTCAGGGCCAGTGCTCTATCCACTGCACCACCTAGCTGCCCCAATAATTTCTTGAAAGATGCTGTCCAGGTCCTCCTTTTGATTATTGCTTTCATGTAGTCCAGTGACTCTGACATTATGTCTTCTGGATCTATTTTCCTTGTCAGTTGTTTTTCCCATGAGGTATTTTACATTTTCTTCCATTTTTTCATTCTTTTGAATTTGTTTGATTGATTCCACATATCTCATGGAGTAATTAGCTTCCATTTGCCCAATTCTAACTTTTAAGGTGTTGTTTTTCCCAATTAGTTATTGTACTTTCTTTTCCATTTGACCAATTCTACTTTTTAAGCAGTTTTCCAAGCTATTGACTCTTTCCCCCTCCCCATAATTCTCTTGCATCACTCTCATTTCTTTTCCTCATTTTTCTTCTACCTCTCATATGATTTTTAAGCTCCTTTTTGAGCTCTTCCATGAGTTCTTTCTGAGCTTGAGACCAGTTATAATTTTTCTTTGGGGTTTTGCCTGTAGCTGTTTTGACTTTTTTTTTTTTTTTTTTTGCTTTTTGACGAGGCAATCGGGGTTAAGTGACTTGCCCAGGTCAGACATCTAGTAAGTGTCAAATGTCTAAGGCCAAATTTGAACTCAGGTCCTCCTGATTCCAAGGCCAGAGCTCTATCCACTGCACCACCTAGGTGCCCTGACATTGTTTTTCTCTTCTGAGTTTGTGTCTTGGTCTTCCCTGTCACCATGATACTTTCTATGGCCTGATTCTTTTTTTGCTCATCTTTTTTTTTTTTTTTGGACTTTTTCTTTTCTTTTAAATTTGAGCTCTCTACCTGGAGTGGAAGGGGAACTGTCTCAGGCTTCTTGTGCCAGTGGATGCAAGCCCTAGTTCTTTGCCTGGTGCTGCACTGATGAGGCACTCAGAGGACCCTAGTGTCTGGTCCTGTGCTGAGGGAGTAGGGTGGGAGGTGGCTAATACTTCTGGAGGCCCTAGGGATCTGGCAGTTTCCCTGGTGCTGAGCTGGAATCCTAGTGGTGGTGTCTGGTGTGTGCTGAGGCCTGGTGGGGTGCTTCTGCATTTCTTTGGGGCTACATTGAAGCATATAGAGGTCCAGCCACTGGAGGATGCCTATTTACCTGGGGTTACACTGAAGCATGTGGTGATTCTTGGAGCTGGAGTCTGCTGGTTCCCCTGGCACCTGTGGCACCTGGGGGTCTGGTGTTAGTGTTCGCCTGCTCCACCACACTATGGTTCAGGATCTCCCACTGGTTTGCTGAGGTGGGGGCTTGCTACTGGTTTGCTGGGATGCTTGCTGTCCTGGAATGCACCCCCCTTTTACCTAAGATCTTGCTGATCTTCTAAGTTTCTTCAGCTAAAAGATTGTTTTACCCCATTTTTTGCTGGTTCTGCTGTTCCAGGATTTGTTTGGGGGTACAATTTAATTGTTGTTTGGAGATGAATATGGGAGAGTTATAGCAATTTATGGCTTACTCTGCCATCTTGGCTCCTGGAAGTTTTTTAATCTCTTTCTGACCTGTGTCCAATCCTCTTACTTCATGGTGAGAGCTCCCCAAACTGTTACTGCTTCTGTATCTCTTGCAGCCATAAACTCCAAGGCCCATAGATTATGTTGGCAACATATTGTGCTCTGGGTCAGCCTTTGCTGACAGTGTCACAGACTTGCTTCTGGCCTCCTAAATTGTTTGTGCCTGGAAAAATGCCTTTTATTAGCTACATTGCTCCAAAATTTAATGCATTATTTTAAAGATTTTTGAAGGTTAAAGTTAGGAGAGTTCAGCTGCCATCTTGGCTCCACCTCTGGAAATATTGTATTTCAAGCTTTCTGTTTCTTTATTGTGGGGTCTGCTAATCATGTGTCATCCTGACTGCAGCTTATACTTGAATTCTTTCTTTTTGACTGCTTGTAGTATTTTTTCTATCACCTGAAAACTCTGGCTTTTGGCCATGATATTCCTAAGAGTTTTCATTTTGGAGATTTCTTTATTTCTACTTTCACTTTATTCTTGGATTATAAAAGATATGGGCAATGTTCTTTTAAGACTTCTTAAAATATAGTATCTAGGATCCTTTTGGGGGACGAATCATGGCATTCAGGTAACCCAATTATTCTCATGTATTTTCTCATCATTCTGTCTTTTAGGTCAGAGACCTAGAAAATGTCTTTACGTGTATCCAGCAAAACTGTGTATCTAGAGGCAGCAAGAAAAGAAGGATCCATTGAGAAATATCTAGGGTAGTATGAAAAACTTAGAGTTTTGGAGGCTATCAGGAACCAAGGTAGTCAGTGTGGCCTGGCAGCACTTAGATAAGAACAGTCAAGGCCCTTCAGTGCCTTGGAGGGCTCTGAGAGCTCAAGTACTCTCTCCTGAGATGCCACAGAAGGCCCTGAAGATCCATTACTCTGAACTCCAAATATCCAGAGGATTTTGACTCTGGAAGCAACTGGAGGTCAGATCAGGAGCCCTGGTAACCAAGGATGAGATTAAGTGCGGTAGATTATCTCACCCAAAAGCCCAGCAGTGGGAAGATTCCCACTGCTCCATAATACCTCAGTCAAGACTGGAGAGATGAGTAAGTCAAAGAAAATACTGACTAGTATAAAAGGAAGGAAAAAACTTATTGTAGATCTAGATAGGTTAAAAAATCTAGCTTAGTAGGAGAAAGTAACTCCAAAGTATCTGCAAGGAAAAACTTAATGGGAACAATTTATTTTCCATAAGGATTATAGAAATACCTAGAATAAATGAAGCAAAATATTTAAAAAATGAAATAAAATATCTGGAAGAAAGAATTAGAAGGAAAATAAATAGCACGGAAGGCTAGCAAACTTTACTGGAGTAGATAGACTCCTTGAAACCTGGAATACATTAAATAGAAATCAGTGACTCTATCAGATAGGAAATATTAGAACAAATTCAAAAGATTGAAAAAAAAATATTAGATGTAAAAAACAGCTGGCCTGGAAAATAGGTTACAATAAAAGGATTTAAGAATAATTTGACTTACTGAAGGCTATGTTTTACAAAAAGCCTGGCTACTATATTTCAAGAAATTATACATGATAGTTCCCCAGACCTATTAGGATCAGAGGGGAAAGTAAAGATGGAAAGAATCTACTGTTAACATCCTGAAAGAAACTGTGAAAGAAAAAATTCTTGAAATGTCACTGCTAAAATTCAAAGTTTCCATGTCTAAGGAAGAAAAATATTGCAAGCATCCATAAAGAAGACCCAGAAGTTTCTGCTATAAGAGGAAATCATGAAATACAATATTCTAAAAGGCAAAAGAAACAGACTTATAACCAAGAATAACTTGCCCTGAAAGGATGAGAATGGTTCTACTGTACTTATATAATGGAGAATAAGATGGATCTTTCATAGGAGAGAGGTTTTTTTAAAAAGTGAAATAAAGGATCTCTTTTTCCTACAAAAGAGAATAGAAATTCAGAAAGAAGCACAAACAGGATGGTTCTGAATGTAATGTATAGAATTTTTAGATTTTTTTAAAAGTACATGGTGTAAAATAGAGATTTGGTTACATATGCAGTCTTTTTTTTTTTTAAAGCAACTCAACTGTTTCATTTTGTCTTTGTGTTTCCAATGTTCAACCCAGTAGTTATTTAAGAGGTGCTTATTGACTGATTAATCTCAGCAATGTTAAATTATTCCATTAATGTATACAGATTTTTCTTTAGCAAGTCAAAAATTAATATCACATTACATTTAGGTTTAAAATGGCCTGTGGTTTATACCTTTAGAAAGACATGATACCTAAGTTTTGCTCAACTGTTCATTATAAATCCTTTCTTTAGTACTGACCTTCACATGATTCTCCATTTGGTGAAAACATTCCATTGTCATGGTAGCCATCTCTGCACTCACAGTGATACCAACCAGGCAGATTAATGCAGTTAGCACGGTTGTCGCATTGTACAAAGCCATCTGAACATTCATCAATGTCTGCTCAAAAACAAGTTAGAGAAAAAAGAAGTTAAACATTAGCTATAACTCACTGAGAAGTGATATGGTATGTTAGCAAGCTTATTAATAATTGTGATACCAATGGACCCTGGAAATGTGTTGATAGACAATAATAGTAATTTTAATTTTTATTGTTTTATAGTTAAAAAATGCCTTAAACCCATTAACTCAATGAAAGTTAGTCAGTGAACCTTTATTAAGTATCTACAATGTGCTAGGCACTATGTTAAGCAATGGGAATATGAAGAAGGGGGGGGGAGGAAAGAAAAAAAAAGAAAAAAAAGGAAGCTACAAAGGGGAGAACATGATGAAGAAATCCAAAGGAGTGCACTGGATGGGAAAGAAGAGAAAGCTGACCTATTTAAATGGAAGTTCTCAGAGAGATGTTACAAAGGCAATATAGATAGATGTGGAACAAGCTTGTAAAGATTTTACCAGTTGCCTCTAATACACATCAGTGTTGGCATATTCTGATCCAAAGAAGCCTTTTGTTCTATATATAGATTCTAGCCTAGGAGCATTTGTACTAAAAAGGGGGTGGTCATCAGAAAATTATCTTTTCCAGTAGATGATATAGTGATAGTGAGATTCACTATTTCATACGTAAACTGGAGTTAGCTTTAAAGTGGTCACAGAAAAGTTCAAATACCATGCATATGAAGCTAAAATTTAAGTTTGTATTAATAATAGTCTGATGACATTTTTACTTCTGCCAAGTATGAGCAGCACTAGCCAATTATGAATTTTTCATAAACTATAAGCTTTGTGGTAGCTTATGCCCTATACATTGTTATGAGACACTAATACAAAAGGAAGGAATGAAGACAATATGTGGTATCTGGGAATTTGGGTCACAATCAAATGGAAATTGTAACTAAGATGACTTCCACAAAATAGCATTCTATGAGTATATGTAAGCCTTGTTTCATTAAACCAATACCTCGAAGACATTTTCTTTAAGTATTCAGCTACTAAGTTTAAGCGCTATACTAATCATAGATAAGTCATAGCAATTTTATGGGAAATAGCACCACACAGTGAATATAGAATATGAATTACAAAGTAACAAGATCTAGCATAGTAATGTATACATATATATTTTGAAATGTTATGCTATTTCTAATTGCATTTACTGTTAATAAATATCCTTGGAATGACTTGGGGGGAATAGCCTAATGAATATATATCACTAAAACTTCCCATCTTGTGTTCATAGCATTTTTAAAAATTAAGATTGCTATATGCTCTTGATAGTCTACTAGAAAATTAAATTGTTATTTTTCTTATGGGTAATTTTATACATTGGTGGAAACATTCATTTTATAGAAGATGTAATTACATTCTTACCTGTTTCACAGCTAGGTCCTGTGAAGCCTGGTGGACAGGCACATACATTGGAAGCAATACAGGTTCCTCCATTTCTACAGCCATTTTTGCAAAATGCTGAAAGAGTTAAAAATATCACTACTAATATAAACTCCAAAAATCAGCCTCTTCTTTGTCTTTTGACAAAGCTGGATGTCAGCTGGAAATAATTTCAAGCATTTCACATTTATTGACTGATTTACAAGACATGTCTGTTGAATTGTTTGTTGTTGTTATTGTTTGCTCTTCATTCTTGAAGACAACCTTGACATCAGAAAGGTGATGCCATGACTTGCAAGTGAATTGGATTTAAGTGAGGGAGGGCTATACAAAGTTATCAGCCTCACTTTCTCCTCTGGAATCATCTGGGTTCAGTGGCAACATATAAATCAGGATGACTGAATTGGCCCTAGATGCAATGGGAAACCTTGGCCTTTTTAAGTTAAGGTCTTTCCCAGGTCTCTTGGGAGTCTACTTGCCCAGACAAACCCAGGAACTATATGAACACAATTACAAAACACTTATCACAAAAAGTTAGATCTAAACATTTGGAAAAATATTAATTGTTTATGGGTAGACTGAACCAATATAATAATGTGAAAGAAATAATGATTTTCATATTAATTGATGTGATATGTATAATGAATATACCAATAGTTTAGATTTCTCAGAACTGCCTCTTCTAGCTTGGGAGTCAAAAGCTTACAATGCAGCTTGAAATAATCAATCAAACCCTTGACAACACTCTTACAATCATTACGTTCCTGTGCCTGTGTACATTAAGTGAAGTGAATCAAAGATTGTAGAATGTGTTCCTGTCATAGAACTCTGTTCTCTTGCCCTACCAAGTAATGACCCCCCCAAAGACTTGAAACGATACTGTTGCCACAGGACTCCAGAACACCTTTATTGTCCTTCACTCATGGGCTTGTCATGGGAAACCACTCAAGCCTGAAAATGATTATTTGTAGTCAACCTTCTTCCTCCTAACCCACCTCATTATCATCAACTGCCTAACCTAAATGTATCCTATGCATCTCAAACTCAACATATGCAAAAAATAACTCATTGTCCTCACCCCAAACCAACTTTGTTCTATTGTTATTATTCTTTTTTCTATTTCACCCTATTATGGTGGAGGGCACTACCATCTACCCCCAAGTCATTGAAGTTCAAAAACCTAGTGCCATTCTTGATTTCTCATTCATGTTCAACCCATGTATCTAATAAGTTGTCAAATTTTGCCCAATTCTCTTCACTCATATAGCCATCACCCTCGTATAGGTCCTCATTACCTCTTAGTTGGACTATTTGAAGAGCTTTCTAATTTTTCTCCCTCTTTGTCTCTTCTCTAATTCATCTTCCACAAAGTTGTCAAAGGGATTTTCCTTTATCACAGGTCTGACCATGTCACTCCACTACTCAATAAATTTTTATATCTCCTTCTATCTAGAATGAAACATTTAATCCTTTTTTAAAGCATTTAAAGCTTTTTAAAATCTAGCTTCTGATCTTCCTGGGCTTCTTATTCTCTGCTCCACTCTATGATCTAGCCAAAATGGCCTACACAAGGACATTTCTTGAACATATCACTCCATCCACTGACTCTGTTCCATTGTATTGGTTGTCCCTCATGCCTAGAATGCTCACCCTTCTTGTATCCACTGCTTTGAATCTCTTGCTTTCTTCAAAACTCAGCCCCATGCCATCTTATACAGGAGATTTTTCCTGGTTCCTGTCTAACCTCCCCATTCCTCCCTTATCCCTTGTTACCAGCTGTTAGTGAATCTTTCACCTCCAAGGTGAGCTTCTGTCTACTCTGTATGTTATATTTATCTATTTATTTATCTGCCTTCTATACCATTACAATGTAAGATCCTTGAGGGCAGGAACTATTTTTGGCTTTTTCTGTGTCTTCAGTGCTTAGCAGAGACACATAGTAAATACTTAATACATGTTTCTTAAATGATTGAACTTTACATGGGAAGAGCAGAGTCAGGCACCCAACTGAACTTTCCCAATCTTCCTTTCCAAATCTAAAATAACAATGTCAAGTCAAATTCTGGAGAGGCATAGCCAACAAAAGGTCAGAGTGAAACATTTTTCCAGCCCACAACAACTTAGTAAGTTGTCAGGAGAAGTCTGTGAACTGAGGTGGAAGCCAGTCTGAAATGCACATAGCAGTAGTACCAGTGGTGGCCCTTGAAGGTGGCAACAGTGACAACAGCAGTTGTTAACGTTTTCAGTACAGAGAAAAGTAAGGAGTTTGTACAACTGGTCAGAAAGAGATTACAAGGGATTTTTTGCTGACACTGGGTACAGGACCTTGGTTGTTTAGGAACCTTATTTGCTGATATATAGTTCTGGGTCATAGTTCCAGAGTGGAGAGGAGCACTTGTGGACAGTCACAAGGAAACAAGTGATCTGGTTACAGTTTCAGGACCTAAAGAGCTCTAATGCTTATCGCTGCAGGGAGGCTGGGACTCTTCCTGGCTAAATACCAGAATGCAGACCAAGAGAGTACTTATCACATATCTCCCATCTTGGAAGCACCAAAAGCTTACAGATACTCAGAACTAGCTCTGAAAACAGAATTACAAAAACAGCCTAAAATTAGAGATGGTGCCACTCTACCCCTACATGAACAGAGCCCAATTTTTAAACACAAAGTTCAAAGTTAAGAAATAGGCTAGAAAAATGAGCCAAAACCAAAAAAGGAATCTGACCATAAAAAGCTACTATGTTGATGGGGAAGATCAAGATACAAATTCAAGGAAAATAACAATATGAAAACATTTACAAACAAAGCCTCAAAGAAAAATGTGGATTGGACATACTAAAACAAAATTTCCTGGAAGAGCTAAAGAAAGAGATGAGTGGTAGAGGAAAATTGGGTAAAGAAATGAGAGTGATTCAAGAAAATTATGAAAAGAGAATTAATGGCTTGGGAAAAGAAGCACCAAAAATATTAAAGAAAATAACATCTTATGAAACAAAATTGGCCAAACGCTAAAGGAGGAACAAAAATCCAATGAAGAAAAGAACTTAAAAAACAAAAATGGATAAATAGAAAAAGAGGAAGAAAAACTCATTGAAGAAAACAATCCTTAAAAATTAGAATTCGGCAAGTGGAAGCCAATGATTCTATGAGACAAAAAGAAACAGTAAAACAAAGTCAAAAGAATGAAAAATAGGAAAAAAATGGGAAATACCTCTTGGAAAAACAATTGACCCAGAAAATAGATCAAGGAGAAATAGTTTAAGAATTACTGAATTATCTGAAAGCCATGATCATAAAAAGAGCCTAGACATCATATTTGAAGAAATTATAAAGGCAAACTACTTTAATATCTTAAAACCCAAGGGTAAAACAGAAATGGAAAGAATCCACCAATTACCTCATGAAAGAGATCCCAAAATAAAGACTACCAGAAATATTATGGTGAAATTTCAGAGCTCCCAGTTGAAGGACAAAATACTGCAAGAAGTTAAAAAGAAATATCATTGAACCACAGTAAGGATCACATAAGATTTAGCAGTTTTTACATTAAAGAAGCATAGGGCTAGGTATTATATTCTGGAAGGCAAAGGAGTTAGGATTACAACCAAGAATAATCTACCCAATGTAGCTGAGTATAATCCTTCAGGGGAAAGATGGTCATTAAATTACATAAAAGACTTTCAAGCATTTCTGATTAAAGAACCAGAACTGATTAGAAAAATTGACATTAAAATATTCAATAAAACATGAAAAGGTAAACATGAAAGAAAAATCATAAGGGATTTAATAAAATTAAACTATTTACATTCCTATATGGGAAGATGATACATGTAACTCCTAAGAACTTTATCCTTATTAGAGGAGTTGAAGGAGTCTGCATAAACAGAGTGTATAGGTGAGAGTCAACTATGTTGAAATGATCTAAAAAATGAAGGGGTGAGAAAAAGGAATTGGTAGAAGGGGGAAATGGAGAAGAAAATGGGGAAAATTACTTCACATAAAAGAGAAGCACAAGGAAAAGGTTTTACAATAGAGAGAAAGATGGAAAGGAATGGCAGTGCTTAAACTTTACTCTCATTGTAATTGGTTCAAAGAATGAAGAACATATTTACACACTCAGTTGGATATACAAACCTGTTTTTACCCAAGAGAAAGTTGTAGGTGATAAAAGAGAGGGTGGATTAAGGGAAATAGTGGTCAGAAACAAGACAAACTTTTGAGGAGGCACAAGATTAAAAAAAAGGGGGGGAAAGAAAGAAGAAAAAAAGAAGAAAATATGGTGGGGGAGGAACTTACAGTAATTATAACTATGAATGTGAATAGGATGAACTCACCTATAAAATGAAAGCAGATAGCAGAACGGATTAGAAACCAGAATCCAACAATCTATTGTTTATAAGAAACACACTAGGGCTGGAACAGAACCTATTATGTTTCAGTTGAAGTAAAAAGAAGCAGGGATAACAATCATGATATCAGACAAAGTAAAAGCAAAATCAGGCCTAATTAAAAGGGATAATCAGGGAAACTAGATTTTGTAAACAGTATGATGAGCAATGAAGTAATATCAATACTAAAATTACATGTACCAAGTGGCAGAGCATTCAAATTCTTAAAGGAAAAGTTAAATGAGTTACAGGAAAAAAATAAACAGTGGGGGACTATATTAGTGGAAGACTTCAACTTTCTTACTCACAACTAGATAAATCTAACCATAAAATTAATAAGAAAGAAGTTAAGTAAATGAATAGAATTTTAGAAAAGTTAGATATAATAGACTTCTGGAGAAAATTGAAAATGAATAGAATGGAGTATACTATTTTCTCATCTATACATGACACATTCAAAAAATTGGCCATGTATTAGGGAATAAAAACCTCATAATCAAATGCTGAAAAGCAAAAATATTAAGTTCAACCTTTTTGGACCATAAGGCAATAAAAATTAAATTGAACAAAAGGCCTTCAAAGCATAGATTAAAAACTAATTGGAAACTAAATAGTTTTATCTTAAAGAATAGATGGGTCAAAGAACAATAATTTCATTTACAAATGACAACAATATGCCAACATAGTAA